TGTAGGAGCGCAATCTTGTAAACTGCAGCTCAACACCTGCGTGAATGAATAATTCAACACGGAGCTATTTTTACATTCACATCTCAATGGGAAAGGTGTGAAGCAGAGTGGAAGTGTGTGATGGACAAATAGAAACGTTGGCAAGCTGAATGAGAAGAAATGGAAGTGACAGATCAAGTAAAAACGCATTCACAGACTCATAAAGCCACGAGACATTTGAAGATATCGGGTGTTACACCTCGACATTAATCATCGTAGCGGTGAAATCTTCTGAACTGAGTGAAATGATCTGGAAGTATCTACCCTGATGAGAGGTGGTGGACTTCTCTCAATGCAGAGGAAAGGTGCTTCAATGCTTCCTTCTTTAGTGTAAAGAAACACTGGACCATCGTTTACAAAACCATGGAGATAATACCGTCCCACAAGCTGTCAATCCATCAATAACATCCGCACCACAGACACGGGCCCCTAAAAAGTTCCAGTTCATGGGGCCCTCCCCAAATCTGCTTTACAAATGAGCTGTTAGTTTAGATCAGGACATTTGTCAGGTCATGTGGCCGGCCGACTCGTAGCATTTTCAGGAGAGGGGATGTTTGTTGATTAGGGACAAAACATTCGACTAGAACAAGTAACGTTTGTCTTTGCAGTAAAGAGAAGAAAGAACCTGAAGCCGTCTGACATCCACAGCTCAACAAACAGGAGCCTGAAGCTCTAATGCAGGACTTACAGTTCTCTACGGTGCATCAGACAGACCCACAGCTTCTACGTACCTCCTGAAGTTCAAGAACATTTAGTTTCCTTTTGTGTGTGTGTGTGTGTGTGTATGTGTGTATACGTCAATGAGAGCTGAGGTAACAGTCATCCTCCCCTGGGATTTTTAAACCACAGGATGAAAGTCATGCATGAAATCACCTCATTCACACACATGGTTTTGCTGGAGCTACTGTTTTAGATGATGTTTTTTGGAGGGTTGTGAGAAGAAATATTAATTCAAGGAGTCTCAGGTTTGCTGCTGATGTGCAGCTATAAACCATGTGTAAGCTGCTTGTACTGATAGGAAACAGTACTCGTTAACACTGGCTAAATATTGCGATACGACACAATTAACAATGTGTGACAGCGTCTTAACTTGAGCTGGAGGATCATTTGAACCTTTTTAAAACGTACAAAGAAAGAGTGAAGTGAGGACAACAAGGACAATAGTTTCCTGATGGTAAGAGGAAAGACGAGCAGATTTACTGCAGAAAGCCGAACCTCGATGTGAACAAAAGGAAGAGATTCTTCATCATATCTAAACACATTCTGACTCAACTCATCAAATAACGCTTGTTCAGACTCGTATCTTTTTCAGGAGAGAGGATGTTTCATTATGTAACATTTAACTCAAGCAACCGTGTGTTTGGTTGTAAAGACAACACGCTGAGATGTAGGAAGAGTGCAGTTTGATTTACAGCAAAAAGCATCAACAAGCAAATTACAACAGATCAGAAACCAGAGAGACATCTTATCAAAATATGATGACTATACTCATGACATCTGGGTAAATTGGGAATAAAAACTCGTCTCTATAATCCTATTTCAAACAGGCAACAATTCTATATACGAGAATTTGTGGTAACCAAGAGGAGAGGATTTCTTTCTCTTTCGCGTGACAGATTGAAGTGTTGGCTCTGCTATTCTGGCAGCAGACGGAGGGAGTGCTGCAGTCACTGCTGCGTAACGCGCATGTCAACACACACACACACACACACACACACGCGAGAGAGACAGGGAGGGGAGGGGGGGGGGGGGCTCCGTCTCTTCTAAATATAGGCCTCAACAGCACCACAGCCTTAAATATTTCATCGCCTCCTCTCCAGAAATGAAGGAGGGGAGCCAGGGGAGGAAAAGGGGGGAAGATTGAGAGAGAGATGAGGAAGTGGAGGGGGGGTTCATGAGAGTGAGAGCAGTACAAAGAGGTAACAGACAAAAATAGGAAGCAGAAAAAAAACGGCATGCAGGAGGGGAGCATGAAGGATGGAGGGAGAGAGGGAGGAGGGAGGCTGAAGGCATGGGAATCTAATCCCCGCCTCCCTTTTATGCAAAATAAGAATGAAGTATTTCTGGATCTCTCCAGACAACTGGTGCGTCATGGCCGATAAGAAGGTTATCTTCTTATGGACGGGATGCCGAAATCTCTGCGTCGCTTCAGTTCGAAGCAACTTAGTAACGTATTGATAAGTTTCTGCCTCGACACTATCTCAAAATTAAAACCAGTCCAGTCCTTCGCAAAATAAAAATTCCAAAAAAAAAAAAGATTAACGCCAAACAGATTTAGAAACTGTCTTAAACCTCAAGCATCCAGTCGCAGCTACGAGGAGAGGAGGGTTTACTCCCGGCGGCGGTGTCACTCTGCTTGGGCCTCGCTGTCACTTAGACGAGGATAAAGTGTTGCTTTTGTTGCTGCTGTAAGCTGCCCCCCCTCCCTTCGCTCGCTGCTGTGCATATTGTGCACTGTGCAGCATGTTGAAGGAGAGATAAAGGTTAAAGCCACATCTGCAGGGAGCTGCAGCGGCGGGGACGCTGCACGCGGAAGATCACGTGGCGCGGACACACAAACGCCAGCGCGGCCACATGCAGATTGCTTCTCAGGATTTGCCCCCCCCCCATGCACACACACACTTCATCACATGCCGGCATGCTCTTTGTTCTGTCAGGGTTGTTTCGGTGATGGATGAGTCGGCATGCAACGCACATGGGAGGGTCATTACAGGAGGCCCGGGCCTTTCTCAGCCAGACACCTATACAGAGAAAATGGGCTCAACAATGGAACAAGACACCATCACAGGATGGCGAGGACGGAGCACACCTCGACTACCCCCCCCCCCACGATACACACACCCCTCACACACACACACACACACACACACACACACACACACACACAAATCAATTCATGAGCCCGACTATTGTGGCGCAGTGGGTTCACTAATCAGTCATATTGAGAGATGTTGTGATCTAGAATCATGCGTCATTAAAACGGATAATCACAGCAGCAGAAGAGATCTGAAAACAAATTACTTCTTGTTTTTTACTCCCTGATCTGAATTCCCCGCAATGTTTTGGTGGAAATCTTCCACAGCTCTATTCGTGAGATTACTTTATTACAAGATTGTTTGTTTATTTTGGATTGACAGAGTTCTGGTGTTGACATTGTTCTTGTTGAATGTGATGTGGATTTGGGTTTTATGTTTGCTGCTCCTGGAGCTAAGAAATCGATATGGCAACGACGGTCAGAGACTGAAATATCCCGAAATAACTATTGGATGGACTACAATGAAATGTTGTTCATGCTCCCCAGAGGATGAATCCTAATCACGTTTTCGTGATCCCCTGACTTTGCTTCTAACGCCATGAAATATCGACCATTGGACAGATTGCCACAAAATTGGTACAGATATTCATGATCCCCTGAGGATAAATAATACAAAATGTGACTTTTCATCCAGTGACAAAATCAGGTCATTTTGATTTGTCCAATACTTTTTAATGACAAAACAACAACACAAGACATGAATCACCCGGTTATTAGGCCTGAATAAAATAATGTATGGCCCACAGGATGAACCAGTGAATGAAGCAGGTAGGAGGGGAATCTAGCTATCTTTAGCAGTACAGCTGGATTTAATGACAAATCAGTTCCAATCAGTCAAAGTATAAACGACAAAAAGTTTGACTAGAACAAGTAACGTTTGTCTTTGCAGTAAAGAGAACAAAGAACCTGAAGCCGTCTGACATCCACAGCTCAACAAACAGGAACCTGAAGCTCTAATGCAGGACTTACAGTTCTCTACGGTGCATCAGACAGACCCACAGCTTCTACGTACCTCCTGAAGTTCAAGAACATTTAGTTTCCTTTTGTGTGTGTGTGTGTGTGTGTGTATACGTCAATGTGAGCTGAGGTGACACACTCATCCTTCCCTGGGATTTTTAAACCACAGGATGAAAGTCATGCATGAAATCACCTCATTCACACACATGGTTTTGCTGGAGCTACTGTTTTAGATGATGTTTTTTGGAGGGTTGTGAGAAGAAATATTAATTCAAGGAGTCTCAGGTTTGCTGCTGATGTGCAGCTATAAACCATGTGTAAGCTGCTTGTACTGATAGGAAACAGTACTCGTTAACACTGGCTAAATATTGCGATACGACACAATTAACAATGTGTGACAGCGTCTTAAAATAAGTACGTTTGTTACGTAGAATTACGACGCTTGGAGCTACGTCACTGGTTGTAATAAAGCCCAGAAGATACGTAACAAAACTACGGTAAAGTCAACGTCCTGTGTTTTTGACAAATCCGTCCTACACAGACTTTAATCTATGCTTAAGTTATGCTATTTAAAGTTGGTTAAATAGTTCATCCTGTAGTGAACCTCAGTGAATCAGAAGGTAAAAGGAAGCGACTGATGGCTTGAGGGACTAAATCTATTTATGTTTTCTCTGCTTAGGAACAAAATGAAGGCCGGCCTTCACAGGATCCTGTCCTGCAGAGATCGCTGAGCTCAGCTTAAATGAATATTAGGGTTCAAGTGAGGACAGCTGACCGTGCACTCTATCCGCCCCATAATCCTGCTGCAACAGGTCACATCAGTCAGCACCAAACATCTGGGCCAGTACTGTTGGATTGGACATAGTGAGAAGGTTTTTTTCCACTTGTACATGAATGTCCTCGTTATTTTAGACTACATCTTGTTCTGTAACTGTAAACTAAATGAAGAGCACTGGGTTTAAGTGGGGTCAATATGCTCTTGCACTAAATAGAAAATATGAGGAGGCCTCTATCCTCCCCTTAGTGTCAACCACAGTGAATTTAATCAGCAAACTACAGTTCATGTTTTAAAGCATTTTAAGACATTCAGCACTCTTTCAACAGTTGAAAATATCAAGGTACCTGTCGATAAATTAGTAAATCAGCTTCTACCTCCGCTTGTTGCCCATTGTTTCCCCCGATCACTTACCTCTTGAAGTGGCTAAGTAGGGTGCCGACCAGCTCCCCGATGCGGCTCTCGTTGGCGGGCACCATGGCCTGCAGGCACACCACGAGATCCCTGCTGTCCTTGGTGTGGAACACAACCAGCTGGTCCTTCCCAGGGGACACGCTCACTCCCGTCACCTGGGCCAGTGTGAGAGAGAGGGGACACACAATTAAACACAGATAAACATGTACATAGAGTCGTATAACCATCTGTACTGTAGATAAACACAAATACACCACATATACGGACACAGAGGCTAATGCATATCGGGTCGTTTGAGGTGGCGTAAACCCAAAGGACATGAATTCACTGGGGTTGTTGCACAGGGCCAATTCTTCACGTTTAACTTCCACTGGAAGTAAAAGAAGGAGACCTGTGGTATTTGGAGCGCAGGCTGTTTATAAGAAGTGGACGTAGTCGTCGTGACGTCACCTATTGGTTTGTTGAGTACGGTTTTGAAGCCTGGAGTTTGGCATTTTGGCCGTTGCCATCTTGGATTTTGGCTGTCGTCATGTTGGCTTTTTGCAACAGCTGAGGTAGCAACCTGTCAATCACAGTAGCCCCGCCCTGAATCATCCCCTGCTTTATGGTCTGTTTGACTCTAAATGGACCATAATTTACTAAATTAACATCATGCTATATTGAAGAAGACTTGAAACTAGAGATTGAGACCATAAACTCATGTTTACAATGTTTACTGAGGTAATAAATCAAGAGAGAAGTAGAGTCATTTTCTCATAGACTTCTATACAACCAGAGGAGTCGCCCTCTGCTGGTCATTAGAGAAAATGCAGCTTTAAGACATGAAGCTTTGGATCCACTTTTCAGAACCGGAGGTTGCCGCCTAATTTTGAGTATCAAGCAGATCGTTTGAGTGGGAGACCAAAAACCTTTTGACGTCAACTCAAAGAACATAAAAATCATACACAGTACAAGAGCTTATAGAACATCCAATCCAATGATGTTGTAACTAACTTGAAGCATTATATATTAACCTTCTTTAGAAGGAAGTTGTTTTTATTTTACATGCTACATCAAGGTTACATTTTGTGTAAAGAGCTTTTCACATTGAAACTGAGCCAAAGCAAACACTGTTCTGGTGTTCTCAGTATCTCGTTTTCTGGGGTTTCTCCCACTCAAGGCCTAAATCAGCACTTGCAGTAATGATTCATTGATTAGCATCCCAAAGGTCCAATCGAATTTTTCCACCCAGAGCCCCCAAATGACACAACAACAGAGAGCTGCCAGGCTGAAGGGGGAATCCCAGTTTTGCGGTTGGACTGTTTAGCTTAACAGGTCTTCTAAGGAGACAACAGGAAGAAACCAATATATCCTCATAGGTAAACACATCTCAGGAGGAAAAGGAGCTCATTAAACCCCCATTCCTTTGTTTTTCACACCATTATCTCTCTTCCTTTTAGCTTTCCTTCGTCTCCTTTGTCATTCCCTGCCTTTATGTATCCAGCCATTTATTTCTCTCTTAATATGTCTTTCCGAGCTGAACTGTGGCGCTGCGTGTTGAGGAAACAGCCACAGGGCAGCCAGTCAGGGGCGTTAATATCCACTCAGCAGACTGCAACGCCGAGACAAACTCTCCATCTGGGGAGGACGGGCTGAGACAGGTTGCATCCGCCGGCTAAACAGAGCTAGCTTATTTAGCTCCAACATGACGCCTGCGACTGTCGAAAAACAAACACTTCACCGTAATCACCATGAATTAAAGCCTAAAGCCATGCCCCTCTGTCTAGCAACCCACCCGCAGTTAATTACATGGAGCCGATTACATTTACATTTATATTAAAGGCCTAATTGATTGGAACGACGGTCGGTGTTCTAATGAGTTGGGTAATGATACATTCGGATTAATTTCCTTGTGTAATTTTTTTTGTGTCTTGATTCCCCAAATCAGTTTTACCCTGAGTATGAAATGTGTTCGAGGCATTTATCTGCCCAGCCATCTGTTCAAGTGTTCCTCTGGCAAATCTGAGACAACTCGAGGAGGAGGATGTTTTTCATTACTGCAGTCCAACTCATTTGTGTTGAAAACTAAAAGGCTCCTACTCACTGAGACAGTGGGGATCCTGCAGGCTTATTGCATGTCAGACTACGTGACATCAAATTAGACATGTTCGATTGTACAATATATATTCCATCCAGGTTTGTTTCCTTTCCTTATGGGATAGTAAACTGAATATCTTTAGGTTCTCGACTGCTGGTCGGACAAAACGTGCACTTTGAGTAAATCACCTTTGACTTCACGATATTGTGACATTTTCACTATTTTATTATATTTCATGGACAAAATGACTAATCGAGAAAATAATCAGCAGCTTAGTTGAAGTCCTAATTATGGTGCAAATGTGAAACAAATGGTAACGAACACGTCATCGTGTTTTGTAAACGAGTTTGAATGTATGATTACGATTGAGTGATTGCCTCCACACGGCTCTCAACATGGCGACGGCTGAGCCAGCTGCTAGAAGCTAAAGGTGCCAACATCGCTAATTGTACAAACAACGGCAACAGTGCTGACAGAGCTAACAATATTTGCTTGGGAGGAACTGGAAGGTGGACGATGCATTATCAGCGGTATCCGCCATATGAGAGCAGTGCAGAGAAGACGACACTTCAAACTGACCGCCGGTGGACTTGTCTTGCAGATTGATCTTGCATCAAATATTTGGATTACCAAATAAAAACAGATTTTCACGTTTCTCTCATGACTTTAGTCGACAGCAGACATTCACACACTGTAAAAGGGCCACGTATTCTTTTCTTTCTATTACACTTCTAAATATATCAGAAACAATTATCATGCATCTCACAGTCGTGCTATGTTGTCTTTTTAAATCACACCGATTGGCTCAAGGAGGACATTGCTAATTTACATATTTGTTTGAGGAGGACTGCACCAAAATGTTGCATTTAGAAAAGCCATGCTCCTAAACAGTACACACACACACACACACACACAAGTGGGTGTATTTTGGTGAAAGCACTTGCGAGAGAACTACTTAACAATATGACCACGATGGTTTTGGTCAAGTGCTCTCTGGTGTGATCCCCTCTGCTCTGCAGTTGTCATGAGGACATAACATGTACAGCAGGTTCTCCCGGTGTATTGTTACAGGAACAAACTATCGGTTATATAACACATCCCCACAGTCCTGTAAAGATAGAAGGGGGGAATAAGCAGAGGGAGCAAAGTGTGATTAAATAAATATGATATAATGAGCGAGGCTGTTGCCTGTGAGGGCATCAGTGAACCAGCCAGAGATGTTTACGGGGCAAAAACACATCATCCGCCTGCAAGTCGCCTCTGAGATGAATTTATTAACACAATTATGCTTCATCACCTTCTAATCCTGATCTCGCGTACGGTGTTTTGCATAATTTCAGACGTTTTCTTTTCTTCCACCCCCTGGTTACGAATAGCCTGCACATGTAAACCGTTCATCTATATAAAGAAATACGGTCTCACTGCAGCTGTGGGAGGTGTTGAAAGAAACAGACTGAAGTGAAGCGATCGACGGGTCAATAAAATACAAAACAAAAAAAAGAACCAGAGCCGCAGGGATCACAAAAAAAAAAAAAGACAGGAAAAGAGTGCACATACAGGAGAGCGATTTGTGCACACGCCTGAAAGACACCAGACATCAGCTGATCTGCCCTGCCTCCCGGTATCCATGACTACGCTGTCTCCTGGGAAGTTGGCATGACAACAACGGGAGGAGAGAGAGAGAGAGAGACAGCACTACACAGGGAGAGGGGTGAGGTGGAGGGTGGAAAAGAAAAGATGGTGAAAAACAGGGAAACCAGTCAGTGGTGCAGAACGGATATTTCACCGTTTCTTCACCGGGATACGTTTTATTCAAGAACACACAGAGTCGAATGATCGCACTTTTGCAGCGCAGGCATTAACTGGCGTATAAATCCTTTAGGCGGACAGTAGTCGACTCTTCACTGTAGAACTAACCATCTGTCAGCGCTGATGCTGCCCTACAGGAGCAGCGGTAAACACTCAGTATCGGGCAGCCAAGGGGACGCTGTGGTTTTAGCCCATCGGTGCTAATCAACAGTGAGCTAACTGCTCTCCCCTCTGTTTGACCTCCTACGATCGATAGTGCCGCCGTGGCTCTCAGCCTCCAGCACATCTCCATCTCCTCCTCACCCCTCTTCCTCTCTCCACGTCTTCCTCACTTTTTCACCTTGACCAATTCCCTCACCCGCCCACTCAGATTGACATTTAAAAAGGCCACAGGTGTGAGAGATACAGCAGGTCAGCGGTTATAATCAGCGTTGTGATTGTGACTAAAAGGATGAATAACTTCTTGGGTTTGGCAACCAAATGCTGTTAAATGATGCACATTTTCTATACTTCTCTCATTGTCAACAAATCCCATGAAAAGTCCAAAAACAACAATAAAAGAATAAAAAATATTAAATCTTCAATAGAAACCAATGGGACTCCCAAATATAGTTCAGTCATTTCCTTTAAAAAAAATTGTTGGGGACTATTTTCCACAGCGGATGAATCCACATTTGGTGCTCTAGTGAGTATTTGTGGCAGAACAACGGTGTGTGTGTGATTGAGTCACAATAAACTACAGCGTCTGTGTTCATGGTGATGAAGGAACAACAGTGAGGCTCACTGTTGTGTTTTTAATGGAGCTCTGTGGCTCAGAGGAGAAGAGATATCAGGCTTTGGACAGACAGACTTGTTAGTAGGATCAATCTGTTGTTCTCATGGGATTTGTTGACAACAAAAAAAAACATTGAATATCACAACTTATCCTTTAAGAATGCAACAAATTATGAATTGTTTTAGGTAAAAAAACAGACACAAAATATTTGTTTCACGGTTAAAAAAAACACGGACAACACCCAGACCGGACAACGCCTGTGGTAGCAATCTGTCAATCACAGTAAGCCACGCCCTAAAGCATCCCCTGCTTTATGGTCTGTTTGACTCTAAATGGACCATAATGTACTAAATGAACATCATGCTGTATTGAAGAAGACTTGAAACTAGAGATTGAGACCACAAAATCATGTTTACAATGTTTACTGAGGTAATAAATCAAGAGAGAAGTAGAGTCATTTTCTCATAGACTTCTATACAACCAGAGGAGTCGCCCCCTGGTGGACACTAGAGAGAATGCAGCTTTAACACATGAAGCATCGACTTCACTGTTCAGACCTGGAGGTTGCTGTCTGGTTATCGTGTGTGTACTCTGCTACTTATGTTGTGTCGCTGTCAATGTGTGAAAGCTGCAAACCATACTATACGTCCTTCTACAACACTGACGGCTCTCCATATGCCTGGTGTATGGGACTTGGCTCAGTGTGTGTGTGACTCTCTGAATGAACAATAACTAAAAATCATGCCTCTCTCTCCCCCCCCCCCCCTCCCCTCCATCTCCCCATTTCACTTCCAGATGCAGCGCTACAGGCTTCGGGTGTCCATCTCCAAGCTCTCCTCTAATTCCCTCTCGTCACTCTGTCAGGTTGAACACCGGGGCGTCTCGTCACAGTTGTCCCCGCACACACCACCGGCCTCATATCTCACTCATTTCACCAGACGACACGGGCGTATAACGCATTACTCCTTCACTTCCTGTCTCATTCCCGCCTCACCTCCAAGGTCAGCGGTGCAAATAAACTGCGTGAGCGTTGCATGTTTCATAGCAGAGAACAATAAGAGAGCTGGTTAAATCAGAAATATCATCAATGGTTTGTTTACGCATTCATTGAAACGCTGCTTTTCTCTTCTCTCTTTGTTTTCTTGAGGAGGAAACATAAATACTTTTGTGAGGCTTGATTTTTATGACTTCAAGAGAGAGAACATAGCGGTGCTTTTTAAAGGGCTGCTTGAGACTTTGGTTTAGTCCAAATGTTTTTTACCCCCTTTCTTTCCACGCAGGCCACCTCACAGCTATAATGTAAGACTCATTATTTAAATACCAGCTTTTATGTGAGGATTTACTGTGTTCTCTATGCTTGCCGAGAGTAAAGGCCTTTAAAAAAAAAGTCATAGTATAGTATAGTATGATAGTATTTCGCATGAATACAAAAGTGTAAAAGCCTTTATATGAGAAGACCGATACTCCAGCCAGGAGACGGTTAGCTTAGCTTAGCATAAAGACTGGAAACAGGTGGAAACAGTTAGCCTGGTAACAACATCTGCCAACTGGACCGTTGAAGAAAATTGAAGAAAACAAGAGAAAAATAAATACATTCCAGCTTAAACGCAACATAAATGGCATGGAAACAGCCTCATGTGCTGTGTGCATGTGGCAGCTTTAATGGGCCGATCACAGTGTGAATATGAATTAAAAGCAGCCAATTGTGGAGCTGAACGAGATGTTTGCATATTGACATGTTGCCACAGGACGGGCTGCTGAGATGTGGAAACCGGAGATAATTCAGCTGCTCTCACGTCCAGCAGGATGCACAGAGGAAATGTAAACCTCAACTAGGAGTGCAAGAATATCATATACTTTATGTCTCACTGTTGCATAAAAGGAACATTTATGTTCGAAAGGCTCCTGCTGGGCTGCAACTCATGACTATTTCATAATCAAATAATCGTTTGGTCTAGAAAATGTCATAAAAGGTCAAGTAGTCTAAAATCTAAAGATATCCAATTAAAGATGACATGAGAAAGAAAACATCCTCACTTTTAAAAAGCTTAAGAAAACAAATATTTACTATTTTTGCTCGTTAAATTACCTTAACGGTCAATTGATTATCTAAAAAGTTAATACGTTTTTCTGTCAATCCGTCAATCGTCTTATTGTTTTACATTTTCAGAAAGATTTTACGTGGGACTTTTTCTTATTAATAATAATTTCTTGCAGGATAAAAAAAGATGACTGTAAAACCAAAACACTGTACACGCTACTCCATATACACATATCTAAATTGATATCATTTGTTAAACCACTTCCCTGAAACCTCTAATCTGAAGTAAAGCACCTCGAGTTACTTTTGTATAAACTTGCCTTGCTGATAAAAAGACAGTTGTTTCTCTTCATGTCTCTGTTCACAAAAGAGTCATAAGCCGTCAAAAGCCAAGTTTCTTCATCTCATTCATGAATAAATATTTTGACATAAAACTGACACTTTAGATGAATCAGAACACGGCTTTTCTGCAGCATTAATTTGAGCTTATAGGATTCATGGTTTCATTTTGAAGTGTCTAACATGTCATTTAAATCAAAAGCTGTTCTGCATAAACCCTTTTCATTCTAACCTGCGAAACATTAAACAGTGTTTAGAAGAGCTCTCCTTCTATAAAGCCAAAGTGTGAAACCTCTGCACTAAACTGTGTCTAATGCGCCGCCCTGTGTTTACCGCCTTGTGTTTGCAATAAAGGAAGCAGTTAAAGGAACGGAGTGCTCCATACGTTGTAGAGGGGGATGCTCTTCATGGGTTTGTACTGCTTCAGGGGGTCCATCTTGTAGAGGTGGCGGTCAGTGATGAGCACAGCCCGGTCCTCCGCCTTGTGGAAACGGTTGATCTGGGAAAACACAAAGCTCCTCATTACTCACCCTGCAGGACAAGAGACACATCTCAACAGCCTGCAGGGAGACGGCGAGAACAACCACGAGCAGTTGGGTTTGTTTTGTTTGTGCAGACGGATGCATGTTGTGACTGTGGTTAGGAGTGGATGAATGCTCTAAAAGCCTCCTCCCTACCTTGCGCACGTTGCCGGAGAACAAAATCCTCATGAATTTGTCTTTCCGCTGCAGCTCGCTGGAAACCAGTGAGAACGAGGAGGCCGTATCAGGGCTGTCTCGCTTCTGTCGGACACAAAGAAAACACAGAAAAGCCGTTTAAAACACGCCGCTAATCTAAAGGAATTCATCTCCCAAACTAGATGTACTCTCACTGCAGATTTCAATTAATAATTTTTCACATATATCACATATTTTTTAGAAGACAAGTTCAACGTTTTGGGAAATATGCGTTTTTTAATGCTTGAAACTCTCCCGTCTGTACAGTACATATGAAGCTGGTTAGCTTAGCTTAGCACAATGACTGGAAACAGGGGGAAACAGCTAGCCTGGCTCCGTCGAAGCTCTCTGCTTAACACAGATTTTGTTTAATCTGTACAAAAAGTGAAATGTTAAAAAAAAGACAATTTGAACCTGTTTGAATTTTAGTCCAATCAGCTGACTCGTGTCATAAAATGTATGTAAATATTCTTCAACATTTAGAAAAGAGAGGCAACACCAAAACGTAAAAAAGAACAGACTCACAATATGTTGTTATATTTTTGCAGGGGCACCTTATGATTACCTCATTTAAGATAGTTTGTTTTTCACTAAAAAGGATGTTCACTTAAAAAAAAAAAAAAAAAAAAAAAAAAGGAGGCGTCACATCTGTGATGCATTAAAACATTTGTTTAAGTGTAAAGTGACTCCAGTATCTTTTAGTGCTATTGTAAGCACATTTTGAGACTATATTATGAGAATAATGTGGTGAATCACAGTTGTTTTGGCTTAGGATAAAAGTGACATGAACGTTTCATATCGTCCCATGTCTATATTACCAATGCTGCCATCCCACCGACTCACCAGGTAGTTTCCTTCCCAGGCTCTCTGCAGCCCCAAGTCGGCCCTCTGGCCCTTCAGGGCCTCCAGGCTGGCTACCTTGGCCCTCACCTGCAGGGCCTCCTCTGGAGAGAGGCCTTTGATCAGTGTCCATGCCCACCACCTGGAGGTAAACACACAAACACAAAGAGAGAGCTGAGAGCGGAGGAGGATCGACTGCCTCCACTGAGACTCTGATAGTTGGGTCAGCGGGGGCGATACAGCGGGACTGCATTGGACCCCAGCTGTACTGTACTTATTGGCCCTTAACTCACACATCCTGACAGCCAACATCATTCTCTGGGAAGGCTATTTTTCGTACGGTGCCCGGCTTCAAATAGAGAGAAGCAGACAAACAGACGTCGGGATGAAAGGCGGTGATGAGTCTTTGATGGAGGAAGAAAAATCAATGAGCCCAGTGTGAGCCCGAGGCAGAAGGAAACATGTGTTCAAGTGGCTTCAAACGGACTCATCTGGATGTAAAACAGCACTCGAGGACATGCGTTGTCTCCAGCTGTTGGGGTCAGACCCACTTTTAGTTCAGCCAATACAGGAGAGGGCTTTTCTTCAACAGATAGCAATTTAAAAACAGTTTATTTAACAAAAAAAAGCTCATTTTCTGCCTCTGTTTTGAATGAGAATGAGTAGCATTTAAAGGTAGTTTTACTTTATTTTTGAACAGTTTGAACAAAGCGGCTTGTTACTTGTGTTTCAAAAGCAAGAACCTTTATCCATCACACAGATATCACAGTGAAAGAGAAAGTCATGTTACCTGTTGTAGATGCTCCTGAGGGCCTCTTCAAACTTGCGCAGGACTTTGGGGGGCGTCGGCCACTTCACATGCCTGCCGTAATCCTTCATGGATCGGACGTTTTTGAAGCGGCGGTTGACCTCGCGGACGTAAGATCTCACCTTGTAGCGTCTGTAGGCCTGCAGGATGACGAGGGCCGCTCTCATCCGCCGATATCGCATTCTGGCTAAGGTGCCCCTCCACACCTGCAGACGTAATCAACATGCACGGAACCGCAATCAGTGACGTATTATAGGAACACAACTGCTGCACGGCTCCTTGAAGGGTTCTTGAGGGATAAGTATTATACTGCTCTGCCATATGTGGCAAATAAGCCTGTAGTGTCTCCCTTTAAGCAGTCAAGTTATAGAAACGCTGGTTCCAACATTACCCATGATGCACTGCAATAGAGCGGGACCCTCATCTCTGCCAGTAATCACTGCGAGGACTCATAAAGACCTCCACATGACTTACACCGACCTTTATCTTAAGTGGAGTTCCACTTTTAGCACCAGAGGAAGGAATGAAGGGATATTTCTAACTGCTGCATCTACATTTTAATAATTCATTTGGTAGAATATCCACCGCTAACCCAGCTATTTTAAGTTTTTATGCACCGGTGGTAAAAAGCTGACTATAAAGAGCTATGACTGCACTAAAATGAAAATAAAAGTACAGAATAGAGCTATAAATATGGGTGCATATTGCTGTAAAAGTTACTATGCAAGTGTGTATTTCAATGTGTCGTACTGCCTTTTTCTTAATTTGCAAATATGGAGAGAGATTGTTTTTTCATTACTCATCATTAGAATTCATTATACATTGTTTATTTGTGATACATCAGTGCTCGTAATGCTTGAATAATAAGGACTATAAAAAGGACTGTAACCAAACATAGGTTGAGTGTCTATCAGACCCTCTAAAACATGAATAATAGATGTGAGTGGGACCCCAGGGGTCCATAACTCCTGATCCGCCCACACTAAAATCACCACCACATGCTCTCCCCTTTTACTGGTTGCTCCCCCTTTCTTACACACAACTCTTAACTTATTTACACATTTATTTGGCTGTACATTGTACCACAATAATGCTAAATAATCAGCAATAAGAGTTCATTTAGTGTCATAAACCAAAGGCACTGGAGGCTCACTCCTGAATATCTTGGAAGTGCAATGCAAAGTAACGATGGAGATCATGAATATTTAATCTTTCACAGTGTGGGGGTGGCCGACGGCACAGAGAAGGATTTTTATTTTTAGCATTTGCATATTAAAAACTGTGGAGGAGGCGATTTTCACCTGATGAGACTGGAGCAGATTAATTGAAGATGATAAGATAGCATCCATATCGGCAGCAGATTTTTGTGTTTAAGTTGTTCTTTGGCATTATGCTCGAATGTGAAATGTGACTTTTTAATCCACCTCCACTGGAGAGCCATTACCGAAGGATCGACTTCAGAGCACTGAATCATCCACTGCGTTAATTCTGAACTGGGAACGGGACGGCTTTCTGAAAGAAGCTGCATCACACCGAGATCAATGAGAGAAATCCCGTCAGCCGTCTCATCACCGAGGCAGCCCGGTCACACCGTCTTATCTCAGAAAGGGAAGCTTTAAAGCCCGAACGTTTATGTAACCGTGTGTTGTGTTCAGTAATCTGAGATCAGCCCTTTTAGGCTAGAAAGAAGTCTGTCCCCGTGATGTCAACTGATACAGACCAGCCTGATAGAGCCTACTGGCCTGGTTTCTGTGCATGAAACCTCTGACTCTTCAACATTGTTTTGTTAATTATTACAAGCTTAGAAATAACAACAAAAGACAGAAATGAAAAGTCCTTCATATCATTTGTACTTGTCTCATAGTCTTTGTAATGGAAATCTGAAGGACTATCCATCTTGGTAAAGCTTTATATGAAGGTCCCTGTAATAAATGTTAGTTAATAGGTAATAAGGCTCTAAAAAGTCCTTATAAGATGCTTATTAACATTGTTACTGAGGTGGTAATAGCATTATAAACAAGTTTATTGTTAGATTATAAGACATTTATAAGCACTGACAATAAATGAACAGTTTAGACTGCTTAATAAGGAAGTTACTAAAAGAGTTTCTTATAATTGTTTATAATAGCACAACACATTTATTACGTTTAACTAATTTACCTTTTATATTATTGTTAAACCTTTACGAACGTTTTTTGTTGCTTTATTAAGATTAAAACATACTTATGCATTTCATTACTAGTTAACTGGTTAATAAATCCTTTATTATACACCAACAGTTTTTTAAAGATTATTTTGGGGCTTTTTTGCCTTTGTTAGATCCAACTGAAGACGAGATGTAGCAGAGAGCCGCGGACCCGACACCTGCAGACAGCTAAACTCAGTAAATGTGTTTGTAATGCTGTTATAAGCAATTTAAAGAGTTTTATCATCGTTCTTCAGCAGTCTATAAACTGCTTATGAAATGCATTGTAATCTAATAATAAATGTGTTTATGATGCTACTATCACTTTCATATACTTCACAACGTTAATAAGCATCCTATAAGCACTTATGAAGGCCTTATTACCTATTAATGAACGCTTATTACAAGAACCTTCAATATAAAGCACTACCAAACTATTAAAAAACACATTTCATGACCTGAAACACACACACTGTCTTACAGCTCATGCTACATTAAACCACCTTATCTGTTTTGCGTTGGTTCCTCTATAAAGAGAAAGAACAGGCTGTATTTACATCTAAACATTTCTGCATGTTTATGCAAAGCAACCACCATCTATTCAGGTACAGAAATAGCTCCTCTAATCCGGTGTTATTTTAAGGCTGAAATGTTGTTTCTCTGGCAAAATGGCCGCTGAGGACCTTCTCCTCGGTTTCCTTTAATGCATAATGGATGAGAATAAGAAAAGAGGAGCAGCTACTCATCACTAATCGACCCCGGAGACGATTCTCCCACATGCTCAGGGTGACAGCGGTGGGAGGAATGAATGGGGTTTTACTTAGTTGTCTCTGTGACCAAGGTTAAAAAGTACTTCAACTTAAATTCACAATGTATTCACAGTGTTACGGTAAATTAGGCAGAGCTTTCAGAGGAGGCATCGGGTCAAATATAACGTCGACTGATGTTAATGCTCGACTGTGAGTTTCATTAAATTGGTATTTTAAACTTTTAAAGTTAGTAAATAGAAATGATGTGGGAATATCCAACCATCCTGATTCACACCAATATATATTCTAAGTGGACAAACTGTTTATGGCGCACTCATGTTTCAGCTCCATTTCACATTTATATAATATTTTATTTTATGCGATTCTTAATTTGTTTTCTATTACGTGCAGCTCTTCTTCGATAATTTCTGCCAGGATTTTACTCAAATAGTTGTAAAAAAAAATAGCTATTTTTAAGTGTCTAGCTGAGGACTTACACTGTGTAATGTTATATAAACAAAACCACCATGTAGCATTCCTTCACTGAGAAGTTATTTGTGTAGAATAACTAGTTATTACCAGAAAAATAAATCAAATGTTCACTTTGATATTTACCATCGTGGACAGTGGTTGTAAGGATCGATTTAACACCGTCACAATAACAGAGAGATGTTTCATACATTATCTGGCTGTACAAATATACAGTATAATCCACAGTAATTGTGTCTACATTGTGAATGTGACACTATTGCTGTGCAATCAACAGCTGAAGTCACCGTGTTTACTTTCATTCACTGGGAGAGAACGCAGCGGTTGGATTATTGCATTATTTTGTATGATTTGTTTTCCTTCAAGGTTATCTGCATCTCATTCCTCCATTTCAACTTCTCTTCATAACAACAGTCTATTTTGTATTTCCCATCAAATTATTTTACAGAAAAAATGTGCAGATAGAGACACTGCAGATCTTTATTTGGTACCTGATGAAGGTCCATGACCAACATGTCGTAACTTTGGATAAACTGAATTAAGATCTTATCTGTGAAAATCTCAGAACATGTTTTCAATGTTCAGTTAAAATGTTGCTGTGATAACATCCACATGGTGCACGGGCCTTTGCCAGATCCACAACTGTGTTTATCTAAGCAACAAATCACTAATTACGTTGAGCCTCGTGAAGGTGTGTGACAGGTGGCAAGGGGTTAGAATTACGACATCCTGGCTTCCACACGGGGCACAAACACAGCATCAACACATTTTCTGCTGCGATGACGCTGGTGAGCTGATGAAGATGACACCCGAGGGGGGGGTGTTTGCGGATAAATCAAGCCAATAACAAGGCCCCCGACGGTCTGCCCCCTTACTCTCCTGGCCAATAAAGCCATCTGATCATCCTTTTTAGACTCGTGTCATCCCGGAGCCCCGGCCCTCACCGCGCTCCGGAGCCCCCCGGATTTATGAGATCATCAAAGCCAGATTGGGGATCTTTCTTTGCAACAAAGCGGACAGATTGCTGGGGTTTCACTTGAGAGAAGAGGGGGGAAGGCACACACTTATCACATGAGCCAGGACAACTGGTGAGAGCTGGAAGGCTTCGGTTGGGATGTTGAGCAGAACACAGAGTGGGGAGGAGAGGACCCCCATTACTGCCAAATGAATTTCTTTAATCCAAAAGCATTGGGACTGGAGGTCTAATAAAAGGCCATTAACTAAACTACAGTGTTGGCAATAAAAAACAACAACAACCCTTTACATTGTTGTCAGCTAGATGTGGAAATAAAACAAACAAAATCCCGACACGGAGAGACAGATAGGCCGCTCTGCACCATCGACACACTTGACTGCTGCTGAGCGCCGGAGTTTCCACATCCTCTGGGGATATCGAGCTGGTTTTTCCGGTGACACGCTCGATGCACACGGACGGGCGGAGGGAGGCGGGATCGAGAGCGTGCGGCACAATTCGGTGAGGCTGCAACATGCTCTGACACGGGGAGACAGAGGGGCCGAGGCACAGGCCAGCAGTTATTATCATGAATCAATAAAGGCAACACCAACACCACGAAACACCCTCAGTCCTTTGATCAGAACTCGCTGTAATACGTCAGTTTAGAGTCTTAGCTCCGGGGATAATACTCCAACGATGTGAAAGAAATGTGCTCAAAGTGATCCCGAACTAAACATACTAACACCAAGAGACAGTATTGACGGTTGGATTGAGCGGCTCATCCATCAATGAGATGGGACTGGACAAAGCAGATTGGAAGAATATTGCTGATGGTCAGCAGTACAAGCTTAAAGTCACACACTCTCTCACACACACACACACACACACACACACACACACACACACACA